CTGGCCTCTGGCTTCCATTTCATTACTCTGAATACCAGCCTCCCTGTGGACACGACACCATTCACCTCACGCTGGCACACATCCCTAAAACCTGTGCTCTAGAGCTCTGCAAACAACATATGTTACATGCCACTTCATAAAACACTTACACTTCTATTAATGTAAAGAGCGTTTTATCCTGTTCAACCCTAGAGGAGGTCGTTTTTTTGTGACTTTTAATTTTACTCTTAATAAAAGCTTAATGAATCAGACGAAGATATTGATATTCGCTTCAGGAATATATGGATCTGGGACATAAAGACTTATTGAAGCTTATTGACATGTTGCCACTCCTATGAGTTGCACATAGCACCGTATTGACAAGTAATATTGTCTAATAGCCTTAAGTGTTCTCCATTCTGCCAATATTTTGTGAAGTATATTTAAGATTATGTAATTACTTGTTTCATGTAAAAATGTTTTGGATAACACTGTAGGTTTTACACAGATATATTAGTTTGAGCATCTGCTCAACCAGAGACGAGAGTTTGAGGGCAGGACTATCTGTTTCACTGGCCAATGCTAGACAGAGGGAGTGATTAGGAAAAATGTCCACACTTTTAACTTACAGTATATCTGGATAGAGTCCAAACAGAACACTGCCTGCTCTATATTACTAGACTTTATAATAACTACACTAGTGGAAAAAATGCACAACAAAAAAGGACCTTTCACAATGCATAGTTGACAAGTACTACTAAAACACAAAAACTAAAATAAGTGAAAAACCCTAAATGAATTTTCCTTAAAGAAACATAATACATACATAAGTTGTTTTGCATAAGCTTCAAACAGCTTTGGCAATACACTAGTCAAAGCTGTCAAGCTCAAACTGGGTTACAAAGTCAGACTCAGCAAAACATCCCTGAAGAAAACCCCACCCACTAATCGCTGAAGATTAAAATTATCTTAATTAGATGCTTCATATTGACTTACAGGAGGCTAAGAGCCCACATATTGAAAATATCTGCCTAAAAAAGACGATTTTTCCACATTAAAAGTGTGCTTTTCTGTCTGTCTGCATGCTTCCATCCTCCTCTGGCTGGAAATCTGTGGCCAGCACCTGTTCAGTGGGATGCAAACGTGACATTAATTTCAGATTATACTGAATGGTACTCTGCTTGAAGACCCACTCAGCTACACTTTCAATCTCACAATGAGTATAGCCTACACTTTTTGAAACACATTCAGCTCACTCCTGTCCTGTGATGTAAACATCACTTACAAGATCCTGTGCTGTGCTGTGTTGTGTCATGTTGCCTTCTCTATGCGAGAAAATGCGATGTCTGAATACGGAGGTGTAAAAATGAAATAATATGATACTCAGATGTCCGTTTTACTGCAGATAAAACAATGCAAATGTAATATTTGCAGCTAGTCAAATTAAAGAAATATTCCATGTTCAAAACAAGTTAAGTTGAAGTTAATTTCTACAAAAATTAATTTCAGTCTGTACCTCCTTTTTCTTGAAAACAACAAAAAATTGGGTTACAGTGAGGCACTTGCAATGCAAGTAATTTGAGCCAGTCTGTAAAAGTAAAAAAACTCACTTTATAGATCAAATAATACACAAGCTTTAACAGAAGAATTAATCTAAGTGCTATAAAGAATTAATATATAAAACTGTAAGCTTCACATCATTTTTTTTTTGCATTATTTATATACTACTGTAATATTTATTACAATTTATTATAAATATTTCATTTGTATTTTTTTAGTTTTCATTTAAACTTCAGTTTAAGATTTAGGTCTAGTATTTTTTTATTAGTATTCGTATTTTAATATTTCTATTTAGCATTAATTGATTTTTAGGTTTTGTTTTAGTTTTAGTAATACTTCAACTTATTTTATGTCAAATAGTTAGTTGCCAAGGCAACATTTCAAATTTCCATTTTAGCGAAGTTTTTCCATTAACATTTTATTTCAGCTTTATTTCAAAATAGGGCTGGACGATATGGCCAAAATTTATATCACGATATATTTCTTAATTTCGGTCGATACGATATAATTCCGATATCGATATGAACACTATTTATCTGAAATAGAAAGGGAAACACTGGTAATGTATATCGAAATATCGGAAATGTGCTTAAAAATCATATCACCGTTATTGAAAAAAATTATATCGCGATACATATTGATATTGAATTATTGTTCAGCCCTATTTCAAAATCAAAAATAATTTTATTAGTTTTAGTTTTACAGTAACACCACTGCTTCACATTTCTGCTTTCAAATCCTCCAAAAATTGTAATCTCAAGAAAATATGGGACGTGTCTGAATGATTATTTTGTGGTAATCAACATTATACCACAAAAGCAGCCGATTAAGCATAACTGAACCCAGAATATTCTTTTAAGTCTAACTCAAGCTTGACATAGACTCAGCTGCCTTATATGAACACTAAACGGTTACATAATCGAGTACTTTTACTGCGTTTCAGGGTTTGAAATATATCTAATTCTGAATATCACAAAGATAAGTCATTGCACTGACACGTGAACCCGAGCGGCTAATTATGAGACAGCATTGTCTCAATACACAGTCTATATCACAGCACACAAACAAGCCGAAGGAAGTCTTGGGTGGCTGCGCTCCAGCTCTGTTAGCTTGTAAGCTCCACAAACCGCGGCCCCAGCTTTTGCCTGCCTAAAGTCCAGCTGCTCACTCTACTCAGAGCCAAGAGACAAATTAAACCGCCACCGCTGAAGCCTTCATTTGGACGGACCTCTAAGTTGGCATCTGGATAGACTTAGACATGATTATGCCCATTCACCTAAATACCCTTGCAACTCCCTAAGAAATAAACTACAACTGACAAACACATTCTGTACTCCCGGGCGCAACTAGACTTGTCTGATATCATAAATAATCTGTTATTTTCATGCTCATGAGTTCAGGAAAATTAACTTCAAACTGTTAAGGAAGAGACAAAAAAATCAGACAAAGCCGGTGTTCAAAACAAAGCAGTTCACTTCATGCCACCTTTGTGTCAGGGGTCTTACTGTTCCCATGACAACAAATCCCAACACCCAATGATTTGGCTTCTCATCTGTATGACCAGCAATCCGGTGTCTAAATTTGCGCTAAGCATCTGTTCAATATCACACGATATACACTGGTCCCTAATTTCCAATCAAAACCACTCCCATCATGCAAGAAAAGGAATCGCAGCAGACTTGAAAGGTCATTTGTCTCTGGTGGATGGAGGTAGATTGGCCAAACAGAGCTGCTCCTGTTTAAAACAAACTGTAAAATGGACCAATGGACAATTTGCCCTTGGGCTCTCAGGTATCGCGCTGTAGAAAGAGAGCTTAAAAAGCAGATTGTGTGGGTGAATGAGAGGAACAGATACAGACGCTGAGAGAAACTCTCTTGGAGCCACTGAGAAATAATGGAGCACATATCAGACGGCAAAAGTGATTGACTGCAAATGAGTGAAGCTGCAACACAAACTGCCACCTTTCCATACTGTCAGTGATACGTGTAGTATTTATGTTCCCCATGATAACACTGTTAAAGCATGATAGAACAACTGGAATAGCCTTTATACTGTATACTATATATTTATTTATATAATCAGAACAATAGGAAATAATTGTCTATGTGAGTCTACTTCAACCTATTCATTATAGAGAGAGAGAGAGAGAGAGAGAGAGAGAGAGAGAGACGCTACAACAAACAGTGGCGGATCAAATTAAGAGAAAATGTCAATCCTTACTGACTAGTGTGTGTTATTGTTAGAGATTTTGACTGTAACATCCAAGATGGAAAATGTTAAGCAGAAACAGACCTAATAAAGAATTCAGAAAGGTTAAAGAAATAAAAATAGTTTGTTTACACGTGAAACAAACAGTTCTAAAACCCCTTAAACATAACAGTACACGGCAAAACATCAAAATTGTGATGTTTTGAAATTTTGGGGAATTGCCTCAATGCCACATACTGTATGAGCTGACAATAAGCAAAGCTGATATTTATTTAAGAACGGACTGTACTATAATATGTGCAATTAACAAGATATACTGCAATCACCGATTAAATAAATAGGGAAGACAGCTGCATGTTAATTGGACCCCATAAACAGCAGTTGCCATGAGACTAAAGTGCCATGATGTGCTTTCCTCAATAATTTACTAATCAAAAGGTTAATAGGAAATTGTTTAATATGTGCCAAACTTTTGTAAATATTAAACAAATTTTAATTACTCCAGCCTTGATTCATAAACCACCTCTAGAATGCTTACAACAATAACACTTTCTATTAAGTCTATACACATAACACATTAAAAATATTATCCATTTAATTCAATTATAAAAGATTTTAAAATGTACCCATTCATGCTTAAGAAAGAGTATATACATGAAATATGGCTTTATTCATGTTTTAGATCACTCTATTAAGGTACCGTGAATAGGTATTATAATGTTATTTGTTATTAATACGAATATAATGTGATTTAAAGAAGCATTGTAAGGCATTAAGAATGCGTTAGAAATACCATTATAATGCATTATACATACAGACTTCATAAAAAGTGTTACTTTGAATCCTTCTGCATGATCACAGATCTTCGGCCACAAAGCCACACATGTCCTGCCAGCTTCCTATCTGAAGACACTGGGCAAGATGCTGTCCATGGATGCTGTGGGTACCATTACACAGCATTATCCCTACTCTCGACTCTGCTGGAAGGAGCTGAAATGTGCATGTCGTTGAAAAAAAGACTATTTTGTGGTATTGCGATCTGGCCAAGAGTTGAGATTGTATAGGAAGCATCTCTTTTTGGAATATCTCTACGCCTTGATAAAGATGGCAGGCAATAAAGATAGCATGTGATATCAGAGGAAAACAAAGAGCATCGTTCAAAGGAAGTCATGCAGAGATAATAATTATAATAATAATTTTTTTTTTTTAATTCATATTTGCAAACCATGAACACAAACATGGCATTTCTTACCTTGATCCTTTGCAAGCCAGGGAGCTCCTCTATAAGCGATTCATCTTTATTGTATTCACTTCATCTGACTGTCTATTTCGGAAGAACTGTCGGTTTCAGCCATAAATGTGTCATCTGTGTGAAATACAGTTAGTTTTATCATAACATCCATATAAAACGAGGGAGTTACTTGCCGAATAGCGTTATTTCTTTCTGCCGACAACGCCGATCAATTCATTTTTCGGAAAGAAATGCACACTGATGAAAGGATTATGCCATATTGCAGGAACATTATATATATCCATGTTTTTGAGAGCCCTTGACAACAGCGTACACTCCAGTGATGAGACTAAATATTTTGCCGTGTATTTTCATCTGTCCGTTTTGTGTTTTTGGCGAGGAGAGATGATGGGTGTGCGAATAAAGGCATAGGGAGGCAGGTTTTCTTTAGTACGGAGACTCGGAAGGCTCAAACGGAGGTTCGCTTATTCGCCGCAAGAGAGCGCAGTTTTGTTTTGGTATATTTTTCTGGTTATAAACATTTAAATATCATTTACTTTTATATGTAAGCATTTTTGTTTGTCCCAATAGCAGCACTTTTCCAAATGTTAAGCAGTTTGAGTTTCACACGAGCAGGATTGATTGTGAGAGAAAACAAACATCCATCGTGGTTCATTCTTTGTTAAATGTTTGTTCACTGCAGTTCAGTCAACAATGGAATGCACGTTACTGCTATCACGACTGGCAGGCGATGCTCAATGTGGATTCGTGTTTCTTAAAGGGTTACCTTATTTAAGATTTTGTTCTATTTAAAAATAGCATCAAGCAGCAGCAGCCGAGACGAGCGATGCACCTGCTGTTGCGTGCCTTGGCGACATCTGATGGATGTTTAAAGCTGTCACCTGATCGCTGATGCTTGAACTATGCTGCATTTAATAAATCATGGATAAACTTAAGCAAAATAATGTACATCGTTGGCTACATTGGAAATGTCCCTTGTATTGTATGGATTTTATTTTGATTTGCTTTAAACAGCTAAAATAATCCTTTTTTTTTACCAAAATTGTGATTTAAAAATTCTGTCAAATTAAACGTGAAAATTTACCTCATGACATTCATTACAGATACTGTTATCCTGTTATGTTCCGGAATGAGAAGACCAATTTTAACCACTTTCCTACAGAACCTGCAAAAATAATAAAATCGACAGACAGACAGATTACATAGATAGATAGATAGATAGATGGATGGATGGATGGATGGATGGATGGATAGAGATAATGTGAATGATAAATGTATACTGCACAAAACAAAACACATAAATAAATAAACACATTGGGAACTTCTGTTTTAGCGGTCTTTCAATTTAGTTATACGTTTGTTTATTTATTTACATTGTGCATTTGTTTCTTCTTTTTTATTTGCATATTTATTTCCATCTGTTCTTTTTAAAGAAATGTATGCTTTTATTAAGAAAGGGTGCATCAAATTGATCAAAGGTGACAATAAAGACTTTTACGTTGTTAAAAACAAGATTAACCAACACAATCTGATGTCCCAGGACCATAAAATTATTTTCCTGAATAGAGTGAATATTGAATGCATAAACCAAAAAAATATTTCATTATCATTAAAGGCCACAGTGCAACTGCAGAACCCACCTGAAATGACTGTTTTAATAGGAACGCTCTGTTTGTCAAAGAATCCTGACGAAAATATTTAGCAGCAAATTTTTCCGAATTGATAATAAACGTTTCTTGAGCACCAAGTGAGCATTTAGAATGATTTCTGAAGAGTCATGTGACACTAATGTCCGCTGAAAATAGTGAGGAATATATTACATTTTAAAATACATTCAAATAGAAATATTTTAAGCCGTAAGAATATTTCACAATATTACTATTTGTACTGTATTATGTTTTGATCAAATAAATGCAGCCTTGGTGAGCAAGACTTCTTTCAAAAACATCCTGCAATACGGTAATGAGGGGGTGGCTGATGGATCATGGACATGCGGTTGCATGCCTGCTTTAGGGTATAACGCGCCAGATTAACTAGTCATTTGATAACCTAGTGTTTGCGTTACGCTGTGGTGCTATTGGCTACTATAAAAACAGAAATTAATGCATTGAACTGTTTTTCACATTTCTTTTTATTTCTTCAAGGACAATTAGTCTAGAGGATCCACTTGTACACATCAAAACAATGGAATCACCACATTACCATATTTTACAATCACTGAAACGGGAGAAATGGTTAAGTAGTCATCTTTACCGCACAACCAACCCGATCTCACGGCAATTCATACATATTTTACTAGGTGGCTAATTCGTACGAATTTGTACATGAGATAGCATTGGCACAACTCCTGAAGCACAACCAAACACAGCCAATCCAGGTCCTGGAAGCTCCCCAATAATGAGACCTACAGTAGCCTCGCAGTTTGATCCATCTGGAGTGAGTTGATTACAACCCGGTCTAAGTTGGAATGTTTCAAAATAAACATGTAAAAAAAAAAAACATCAAATTAATGCATCTCTCCATAGATCCAGTGCAAGAAAACGGATGATCTTGGTCACCAGACTGGAAATGCTTCACAAGACCATAGTGCTTTAAATATGGAGTTTGTGATTTGATTGATCATTGCAATATAAACAGACATTTAACAGAAGCTGATTTCGGACATTTAGGAGTTAGTAAAATCATGTTTAGTATGTACCTCCACTTCACAAAAACATCGTAGATAGTAAAGCATTTCAGTAGAGATAAAAGAAGGCCAACTGATCTTACAAGTTTGATCGTGGATATAAACAGTGGTTCAGACGGAGTACTGTTAGATTTGGTAGATAACCTCAGAGAAGGAAAACACCATATATAATTATACAAGAAAAAAATGAGGCTGTGATGGATAAATGGGTTGTACCGTTAAAATATTTCAGCCGATGAAACACTGAAAATACATTGTCCTAAAACATTTCAATTGGACAAAATCTCTGGTTGTGAAAATGAGATCTTGAAATCCAGTAAATTCCACAGCCTCGTTTTTATTTGTGTTTAAATATGGCATCTAAGGTCTGTGACCAATTAAAGTCCACCTCAAACAGCTGTTTGCAGTGCTGTTCTGCTATGAACTTGCATTTAGATTATCATTTTCAGGATTACATGAGATGAACAGCAAAGAAAATGTTACATAAGTTACTGTATGACGTCTAAACTCTTAAGAACATTATGGAAGCTTGTTTCTGTGACGGGTTTAAAAAAAACAAAACAAGGTAAACAATCACAAGACAGGTAGGAAACACAGAATGGCAAACACCCTCATGCTCCACAAAAAAAAAAAAAAACAACAACTGCGTTTAATACGTACACACATCAGATTATTATATCCTCTCATTTTTAACCAAACAGATCTGAAGAGAGCCCTACAAAGTGAGGGACTACACTGGTAGAAATACAATTGGAGATGACTGGTATTATTTATTTATTTTACATCATTGTTTTGGTATAACTGTTTTCTCAAAGATAGCGTTTACTTGAATTCAGTAGCTATATGAAAGAATACAACACGTGAAAGTGAGATCAGGTCAAGCACACCAGATACACCAGGTGTCATCACGCAAATACACAAGAACATTCTCGCATACAGCCATCAAGAGAATACTTTATGATTTACACCCATCCAATGCAAAGAACCACACTAATGCAATTCATCACTTTTCTTGTACTGTACAGAACAATCACAGCGAACTATATATTTGAATTTGAGATGATTACAAGCATAAACAGACCCCAACACTGGGTCTACAGACAGTCGGTTCTGTCACCATATGCAGGATCACTGTTTACATTAAGCTTTTTTAATAAATAAAATTCCTTTTGATTTAAAAAAAAAAATAATAATAATTAAATTTGATATTATGACATCATGGAGGTATGGCCAAAAACATTAAGTGATATTTTCATTTTCAGAATTATGAGATGCCAAACTAAGTGTTTAAGTCGTCAAAGATCTGCCTTTGACATCATCATGCACTCTTTTAAGACAAATTGGTGCACATATTTCAATCTTCAGAAAATGATGGTTAAAAACAGACACAAAGGAAAATACATTTAAATAATTTACTATGTATTTACACCTCCTGTTTGCGCCAGCAACACAGCATCTTTGATCTGTAGGTTGTGTAGTCATCTAATCTCCCATTTTTACTTTCGATGTCTAAATGGAAAGAAAATTTTTTTTTAATGATTACACACACACACACACACACACAAACAAACAAAAAACAAACAAACACAATCTGATGTTCCAGTACCATACAAAAACTGCAGAGCTCAAATGTTTGTTTGTTTATGATTTAACGCCATGCGAGCTACCTCAGCTATATTCATGGCGAAAACGAGGTTAGTTAAGTTAAATTAAGTTTTTAAATTTGATCTTAGATAAAAATTCTAAAACTAAATCTGGCCTCACTTCACTAAAAATCTTTCCATAAAAGTCAACAGAAAAATAATGAGTTCTGACAGACTTTAAACTATTACAATCCATCAAAATATGCTTCAAAGATAATGGATTCTGGCATAAAGAACATAAAGGAGGATCTTCACCCGCCAACAGAAAACTATGGGTTAGTCTGGAATGTCCTATTTGACAGTGAGTGTAGACAATATGATCCCATCGATTTGCATGCTGCACAGAGCAAACACTTCAGATGCAGATTTAAAACATGGACAACTAATCGGTGTGTACACATTATACTGTAGTGCATGTTTGCATATCATTACTAAGTAATTAATTTGTTGACTAGATGCGCTTCATTAGTGGAGAAATAACAGCAGTATGTTTGCTATCAAGGCTAAGAGGACACTAACATTAGCAGCACCTCAAATGGTTAAACCACACGCAAGTTTCCATTAAATTATTTTTCCCAAATCGTTGTTAATGCACATAATGACTTGTAAAATTGTGTATTGTGTATTTTTCAGCGAAACGTCTGTGTGTACACACATCAGATTATTATATCCTCTCATTTTTAACCAAACAGATCTGAAGAGAGCCCTACAAAGTGAGGGACTACACTGGTAGAAATACAATTGGAGATGACTGGTATTATTTATTTATTTTACATCATTGTTTTGGTATAACTGTTTTCTCAAAGATAGCGTTTACTTGAATTCAGTAGCTATATGAAAGAATACAACACGTGAAAGTGAGATCAGGTCAAGCACACCAGATACACCAGGTGTCATCACGCAAATACACAAGAACATTCTCGCATACAGCCATCAAGAGAATACTTTATGATTTACACCCATCCAATGCAAAGAACCACACTAATGCAATTCATCACTTTTCTTGTACTGTACAGAACAATCACAGCGAACTATATATTTGAATTTGAGATGATTACAA